GGCTTGTAAAACTGACTGGGGTTCTCATCCGGCCCTTGGTAGATTTCTGTAGTCTGACTCATATTCATGGCTTTTTTTCCTCCTTCCTTCATGCCTCCTAATAATGCCTCCTGATACTGCTCAAGTCGCTGGTAATTTCAGTCATCATTAGGGTCCCAGTGGGGGTCCTCCTGAGCATAGGCTTGAGCATTTAGAGTGTCCACAGGGGCATGGTCTTCAAGCCACTTTAGAGCCACCAAGGTCATACGGCATCACTCCTCAGTATTAAACAGAGTCAGAAGAAGCTGTCGACAGTCTGTCCAGGTGGACTTATAAGTTTGGATGATGGACTGCATTAGATCAATCAGGACCTGAGGCTTTTCCATAAAGGAGGGGGTATGGTGCTTCCAATTAAGGAGATCTGTGGTGGTGAAGGGCTGGTAGACAAATATTTGCCTTTCTTCTTGTATTTGACGATGCTGGTCATAATATATTTGGCCCTGGACCTCTCTCAGGGGCTTCTGCAGGGTGGTGAGTTACAGGGGAGAGGCTAGGTCCATACTGGGACTGTTCAAATGTTCCTGGTTCAACCTAGGGGTCAGTCTCACAGGGAGCTGTGGAGTGAGGACTGGTGGGCTTGGAGTGAGCAGGAGGTTCATGGGGCCTGAGGAAAGTGGTGGTGTTGCAGTCTCAAGGACTCCTGGGCTCAGCCTTGTAGGTGTATTTGCTGCTGGGGCTTCCCTGTCTGATGCTGCTTCCCCTTCTGAGGGTAGAGGTGAAGAAGTGGATGGCGGTGGCAAAGGTGGGTACAGTGGCACGTAAGCAAACGGGGTCCCTTTGGGGTCCCTGTTAATATGGGTTTCTCCAGCTTTTTACATTTTTCCCCGCACTTGGAAGCTGATGCCACCCTGGCTACCATGACCCTACATGACTCCTCTAGGTGGAGCTTTGTCCACATGGGCCAACTGAGGTCTGCATCCTGCCAGCAATCAATATAAGGAACTTGATCTAGGAGTCCAAGTTCCCCTACAACCACTACAAAAACTCTATTGACTGTGACTTTATTGAATGACCCCTCCAAGGGCCATCCTACACCAAAAGCAGGCCAGTCTATTTCACAGAAGGTCCTAAGCTTGCCAGGAGTCAGCTTGACCCTGTAATCTCCATTAAATCCCCTCTTAAAGTTCTTAAGCATGCATTCTAGGGGGGTATTCTTACTCTGACCTCCTCCCATTCCTCCAATTTGCCAGATGTCAAGACAGAGACAGAGATGGAAGGAATGAGGGCTGTGGAGAAGAGGTAAGGGGTCCTCCTCTCCAGCACACAGGAGAAAACAAATAATACCACTTACTCTTCTGTCTCCAGTCACTCCCCACATGGGGGTTTAGGTGTCTCTTGACCATAGTGAGTCTGTATAAGCCCCAGATCAGAGGTCCTGTTAAGGCTCACCCTAGACCATATGAGTTTGCCATGGACCCGCAGTTTGGGACTCCACAGTCAGTTTGTAACCAGCCTACGTCTCTGGTTCACACTTTCACACAGCACAGTACTTCCACCCCACTCCCTGAAACTGAAAGACACAGTTCCACCCCCAAAGGAGGTTACTTGGATGTCCTTGGGAATTGATCAGACTCTCCTTCTGCCTCCTCAGGCAGGCCTGAATTGAAACCCTGGTTCTAACCAGTCTGATGAGCGGGGCTCCCAAGTTGGTTTCTGAGCCTTTCCAGGTTCCTTTGTACAACTGGAACTCACCCCCTTGGCTCTCTGGGAGAGAGGTTCCCTCAGATCAACATGGTCTGGTGGCACCTGGCAGGGGCAGCTCTCCTGGCAGGCCAGGGATGCTAAGATGGTGACAAGGAGGTGAAAACACCACTCTCTGAATCCTGGACAAGTCTCACATCCCACACAAGCTTGTCCTAGAAACCTAACTGAGGGCAATGGGAGATGTAGAAAAGACAAAAAGACAAAAGACCAAACATACATAAAGCTGGGGCCAGGTAGGCTGAGTGCTCAGATGGAGACACACCAGCACCCCCACCTCCAGTGCATTTATTATATACAGTAGGAACACGAGGTGGAGAGGCAATTCTTGGGGGAGGGGGCGTGACACCATGAGCCTCCAGAACAGGAGGAACCTCTGACAGCTTCTCTCCAAATGTAAACATTAAAGGAAAAAACAGCTGTACTGCATCTTGCCCATTTCTGCAACTGAGGCTGTGCCAATCAAGTGTGCAATTTTACTGGGCATAACTATACTTGTTCTCTTCTGTGGTTTGGGGCTGTGCCAAACTCAAACATGCAGCTTATTCAATACACCTGTCGGCTCCCTACAGACGAGCACCCCAGAAATGTTGCAGGAGGGCTCAGAGAGAGAGAGAGAGGGCACCAAAGCTTTCTGGAAGCAAGTTTATTAAGCAGGCTGGCAGCAACTCAGCAGACTTGAGTCCAAAGGCTGAGCCCTGAGAACAAAGGGGGCTTTCCTTATATACCATTTAGAGCAGGTAACAGAAATGGGGGGTACAGCTTGTCCCATACATGGTCACATGCTATTTCATTGGCCACTTTAACTTCTGAGGCAAGGTGACCTTTCTCTGGTCTCACCCAGGTAACATTCCCCAAATCTGTTTTTTCTCTTTCACTGTAGCACTCATTATCTCCTTTCCCCCTCCCTGCCTTCCTGTCACAATGCATGTATTTATTCCTTCAACAAACATTGTTTGGCACTTACGATATGGAAGACACCCTGTCAGGGACAATGTAAATAACAGGACAGCTCTTCCCACCTTCAGCAAATAGTTATCTGGCCCCAAATGTCACTAGTGCAAACCCTGATCTATAGGATGTCCTGCTGACTATGTTCATGTACAATATAGTCATGTTAAAAATAAGTCATTATCCACTTTTTCATCTACTTGTTACTTGTTATTCCTCATCTGATTAATAATGCCTGGTCATATAAGTCAGTATCTCAAGACTTATTTTTAATTCCTCACTTTCCCTCACCAGGCTCACCTATTAATCACTAATTGCCTTTTGATTCTATCTCCTAAACATCTGAAATCCTTTCTCTTTTCTCTCTACCACTTCCTTTGTTTTACTGTAGACCTTGTTTAGTTTGCAATGACCTATATGGACTCTCTGTGTTGAGTCTTATAAACCCCTCTGAGTCCTCCTCAAATAATCTTCCCAAACTATCTTGGTCACATTTCTTCCATTGACTATAAGGTAAATGGTTGAATACCCAGGTCTGGTTTATCATGTTTACCATGTGTTTTATTATCCACAGGCCCTGTGCAGTCACAATTCTTCCTAATTGTCTCTCCTTGTAAAAACACAAGGAAACAATATCAGGAAAACAAAAGGCTTGACGTTTCCTCTTGGAAAATTCTCTCTTTCAAAACCATGCTAGGTGTAGGTACTACATGTGTTGGGACCCTTATTTTATACGTACCATTTCAGGCATAAAATTGAAGTACAAGCAATATGCTTTTATTACACTGAGATTTTTAAACATTTGAATTACCCATCTATGAGGTGGAAAATCCCAATTAAATTAATAGTCCTCCTTTTTTGGTCCTGAGTCATGGTTAAATTCTGGGAGAGTCTTCCTAGTTCCTAGTTTAGCAGAAGGATATGATATAGGTACCCAGCCCCACTCCTCCTTCAGCTTTTTGGGTCTTTCTTTCAGTCTCTGTGTCATTTGCAGATATCTCCATTTTGCTTTTGCATAGTCACCTAGGAGCTTTGGGATTTTTCTGAGGCTTTCTATGCCTTCCCCATACCACAGGATCATTTCATGTCTGAAGTCTTGCTACCTGTTCCCAGACCACCTGGAATGCAGACATTAGGCCATTACACTGGGCATTCCTTTTAATTTTGTTCATAGTTTACTTCAGAAGCACTTTCTGTCTTGTGATTTTGTTGTTTTAATTTGATTTAGGTTTCCATTTTTTTGGGTGGGGCTGTGATTTGAACTTAGGGTTTCATACTCACAAAATAGGTACTCTACCACTTATACACACCTTCAATCCATTTCACTTTGGTTATTTTGGAGATGGGGGTCTCTCAAACTATTTGCCTGGGCTGGCCTCAAACCTCAATCCTTGTGATCTCTGCCTTCTGAGTAGCTAGGATTATAGGTATGAGCCATCGACAACCAGCTTTGGTTTAGGTTGTTAATTGGTTTAAGTTTTTAATGGGTTTTTAGTTACAGGGAAGCCAGTGACTGAAGGTGGGGCATGTCTGAAGTGGTAGAGCACCAGCCTAGTAAGCACAGGGCCTTGAGTTCAAATCCCAATACCTCCAAAAAGAAGAAAAAAACCTCTCAAATTCTTTCTGCTAAATCCTGTCCTCATTTGAGACAGGGTGAAAAATAGAAGAGCCAGTAGCTCCTAAATTCGTTGAATACACAGTCATATTTATTTATTTACCTATTTATTTAGTTTGCGAAGGGTCTCCCTATGTAGCCCAGACTGGTTTTGAACTCATGATCCTCCTGCTTCAGTCTCCTGAGTGCTGGGATTACAGACGTGTACCACCACGCCAGGATGACGCAGAAGCTTTTAAAGTTAGAGACCTTCTCAACTTCCAGCTCTGCAGTATTACAATTTGTCATTTTGGCAAATCTGTCATTTTTGACCAGGGAGATGAACTCCGCTCAATGTGTTTGCCTGTAGGAATTCTACTTTTTAATCCAGTAGTGGACCCCCTACCCCTTCGCCTTCGCCTTTCTTTGGCACTGCCCTCTCCTTCCAGCCTCTTCCCGCTCCGGAGAGCCTGCCTTGCCGCGCCCGCCCCGCCCCTTCCAGTCCTCCTCCCACCTCCCCGCCCCGCCCCTCAGCTCCCCGCTGCTCATAGCCACGCCCCTTTAGTTCCAGTCTTTCTCCCATCTCCCAATCCACTCATCTCTTTTCTAGCTCTACCGCTTTCGTACGTTCTTGCGACTGCTTCGCGCTTGCAGTTCACATTTTTGACCCTCTTCACCACCCATCCTTACTTTCAACCCGCGGTCGTCATTACCCTGCGCCGGAAGGGAGGACCTGTAAGTGTTTTTGGAATTATGGCGGCGGTGGATATCCGAGGTAATTATGCTCCCCTGCCCCTGGTTGTGAATTGGCTTGAGGGTTTATAGCTGTCCGTAGATCCTCTTGTTAGGTCTCTCAACTTCTGAAAGGTTTCTTCCGACGACCTAAGGCTCTAATTTGGCTAAAATGTGCCGAATTTCCCCGTTTCTGACGATGTCTTAAAGGCATTGACGCGGAGTTAGAAGCGGCTCTGAGCTTTGAGCACTTAGCCCTGGAGCACCGTTGAACGCACATATCTCTGCAGCAATATTGGGGCTGTTTTATCAGGGTGAAGGGACTGCCTTTGGGTAGAGATGGCTGTGGATTTAGCCTGTTCTTGACATTATACTCCATGGTTCGCTAGGCAGAAGTCCCTACATCTTTTATTGTAATTTTTATTTTGAGTCTGTAATACCTCTGTCTAACATAACTGAGGGCAGCGATGTTCTTTTTCACAGCTGAACTGTAGAGGTAATGAAATATTTGTTGAATTAGTCAGTATATGGAGATGCAACCCCTTAATTGCTTCTTGATCTTGGGTAGCATGTAGGGCTCATTTTACTTACCAGAATCTCAGAAGAGTTAATAGGTATGTGCATAAAATGATGATGGCCTGGTTGAAGGCAATGGCAATGCACAGAAATATAACGACAACATTTTTAGGAAAAAACGTCAATTTCCTAAGGAAATTAAAGAGAAATGCCTTAAGTGGTTCTGCCGTAAACCTGTTAATAATTGGGCTGTAGAATTTAAAGGTGAAGGTAACAATTATCTTTATTTGCTTTTCAACAGAAATAATATCTCATTCTCAAAAATGTATTTTCTAGTCTGTTGTGTATTTGGCTATAGCATGACCCATGTATGATGAACTGTATGAATGGTATCTCATTACCATATCTCATATGTCATTGACATACTTTATCTGTTTGTGTCTTTATTTTAGAGCACATAAAGCACATTTTGTGTTTTTACTTTTTAAAATAACTTTCTCCTTTGATTCATTTTGTTTAGAACGGCTTGTCACCTTGAATTAGGTCTGACTTTTTCAAAGATGTCATAAGTACTTGCAATATAGGAGAGGCTGAAGCCTTTTAACTAGTATATAAATGTTTTGATGTTTATAACTTAAACCTAGTATTGTTTACAATAAAAGCTTATAAATTAAAGGTATTTATTTACCTTTTTTTTTTGAGACAGGTTCTTTTGTAGCCTATGCTGGCTTTGAACTCATGATCCTTCTGCCTCTGCCTCCTGAGTGCTGGGATTGTGTGTGTGCACCAACATGCCCACCTCTACCATATCTTTTAAATTAAGATTGAATTCAGCTCTGAAATATGAAACAGTGTTGCAATAATAAGGGAATTTTACTTGCTCTTTGCTCCTTAACTTTTATGTCATTATCTTCTTATTTATAATGATACCTTATTTGTCCCTAATTGAGAGATTAAACTGCTGGTTATGGATGCTTTGAAAAATTTTTAATTAGTTTTCAACATAAAAACTCAGGATTTCCAATCTTTAGAAAGCTCTTTCTAGATCTCCAATCTTAGCATTTCTTTACCTAATCAAATTATAATCTAAGCATATAATTTATTTTATATTTTCATGCTTTTGTATATGAGTACTAAGTGCTTAGAATTACTTTATCTTTTTTTTTCTCCATGGTGAATCTCTGTTTTTTAACATACAGTGCAAAAATCTAGTTCCTACCTATATGAAAAATCATTTCCATTCCATGCTCTCATATCTCATTTATCCTTACCTTCATCATACTACTTATTATATTGTGTTGCCACTGTTTTCTTGTGTATATCTCTCTTCTGTTAGATAGTGAGAGTATGTAGGTTAGAATCTATGTCATTCTTATAGTCATAGTGCCTACTACATTATGTGCATAATAGATATTTGTTGGATTGGTTTCTTTCTAATCCTTTATCATTTTTTCTTTTTTATAGATAATCTGCTGGGAATCTCTTGGGTTGACAGCTCTTGGATCCCCATTTTGAACAGTGGCAGTGTCCTGGATTACTTTTCAGAAAGAAGTAATCCTTTTTATGATAGGACATGTAATAATGAAGTGGTCAAAATGCAGAGGCTAACATTAGAGCACTTGAAGTAAGTTATTATAAAAAGGTAGCATCTTTGTCACCTATAGATTTTGTAGTGAATAGTTCTTGTGAGTTGTAGATCATGAAGTACAAAGTAGAACTTTTGGAAAAAAAACTAGTTCTGTTTGTGTTTGTCCAAATTTAACATGCAAGGAGATTATTAGTAGTCACTTGTCTTTTCTATATAATTTCATAAATCCCTTTAAAATAGAACTGAGGTTTAGATGTTGCTTTGATGAATGATTTTTAGCAATGCAACTGCTGTCAACCAGACAACCATAATTATCACCTCTTTAAATCTAATTTAATGTCTTATAGTCTGGTTTATAGTAGGCTTTCCTTTGCATTATAATACAGGAAATTTTGACTCAACATACACAAAAGATTCTTTAGACTCTAGGATGCTAAATAATTAAGAATTTCTTACTATTAAAAAAATTTCTGAAATAGCTACATAATTTATCATTTGTCACCTAAATATTGAAGATGGAGTGGGTTTTGTGAAATTAAATTTCTATGGTGTATTTTAAATTGTTGTTATGAAGTAAATATTAATAGCTGTTAAGACAACTTATTGTTGCTTTTAAACATAATCTGGTCAAAAAATACGTTGGGATAAGATAAAGCTTTGGATATTTTCCATTTGGGTAGAATATATAATTGGGTTTTCATGTCTATTTTTATACCTTATGTATATTTATTATAGGTCTTGGTCAGGGAGTATAATGGTATTTTGATTGGCTTCTTGAAATAGACACTCTTCAGTGTACTTTCGTGATTGAAAATACTCAGATTTAAATTCACGACGAATTTTTGTAGAGAAATTTTGTTTTTGTCCAAAAACCAAGTAATACTTTATCTATGTACCATCTACATAGAAAGAAAATAGTTTTACTCAGCAGCCAGGTTTTAACACCAAACATAGGCATTTTTAATCCTATTTACAGTATTGCCACAATTTATTTAGTAATTTGAATGCCCTACAAAATTGTTATGAGCATTCATAGATCTTTGGATGTTTGTCTGTTTCAGTCAGATGGTTGGAGTTGAATACATCCTTTTACATGCTCAAGAGCCCATTCTTTTCATCATTCGAAAGCAACAGCGGCAGTCCCCTACTCAAGGTAAATGTATAAATTATAGGCATTGTTTTCATCTTAAAATGCCACAATTTATTTACTTTCTGACCTAAATATTCTCATTTTTGGGGGATTGAGTTCTGTTTTCAGGGTCCATCAGATCACATACATATTCAGTCCTTTGTCAGGTGGACTCAATTAGAATCAGCCTGTCATTGTACTCATAACTAAAATTTATTATGCTACACAGTGAGAATATACAGCCAGATTAGTAATGGAAAAAGACATACTGGGTGGGGTCTGTAGGAATCCACATACAAGTTGCCTGTGCTTTCCTTCCTGTGAGGAACCACACAAAGTATGCTGGCCATTCAGCAGACAAGCAGCCATACGTGTCTGTCTGCTTAGGAAAGCCCATTTGATACCCTGAGACCACGATTTTTATTGAGAACTGGTGATGTAGGCGTCCTCTGCCCACTGGAATTTCAGATTCCCAGATGGATATCACTGGGAATCCTGTGTCCACTTCCATTGTTTGTACATCTTGGCTGAGCCAGCTGGTGTAGCAGGTATAGAAAATATTTCAGAAGCCAAGGAAATATTTCAGAAGTGAAGTTCCACTAGTGATATGCTTAGACACCCAGACTTTTGCAACATGCCCAAGGACAGCTCCCTAAGCTCTAACTATCAGAGCAGTTACCTCTGACTGTGAGCACAGTTGTAGGAATCCCACAGAACCTTAAGCATCCCAAGGAAGTTTTCTTCTCATTTCAGTCACGGAGTTAATTCTGTTGTAAAATACATGGCAGTGCAATTATATCACATTCATAAGGGTCAGTTGAATATTCTCAAAGATACCTTCAATCAAAACTCTTACTTGGGTTTTACTACCAAATGGAAACTTGTTTAAGAAATAACATTAAAGAGTAATGAATCTAGATTTGGTTTTAAATCAACACCTATTCTGAAGACGGCCAGAACTTTAACACACCTTGGAATCAAACAGAACTTTGGGAAAAAAATCACACTAAAGAGATGATTCAAGGTAGAGAAGCCAGGTAGTGTTGTGCCAGCTACATCTCTCAACTAGATGCCCACATTAAGATATTTAGGAGTAAATGTTACTCTGGTATTGATTTTAGAGAATGAATTGCTGAACAAGTTGTGTTTCCAGAATCCAAATTTAGTTTCAAAATGAAAGATCTAGAGTCTCTTCCCAGAGAAAAGAGAACCTTTGAAGAAAGGCAAGACCGTGTGAGAGGATTCAGGGTATAAAAGCTATACAAGATGGCTCCAGACTCAGTAGTAGCTGTTGTATTCCGTAGAACTCAGCCCTGGAACTCAGAGGCAAATTTAGTGCATCAGATATCTTCACCCTGGGCTTCAAGTCTCTCTGGCTATAAGGACTTACTCCCCAAAGTTTGATTGACTAATAATACCATTAGCACCACTTGGGAACTTGTTTGAAAAGTACTATGCCTACCCCTTAAGAATCTCATTTTAACAAGCTCCAGAATGATTAGGTGTAATTTAGATGTGCATTAAAGTTTGAGAAACACTGCTCTTGAGTTAAGAGTTGGCATACTTTTTCTGTGAAGGAAAGTAAATTCTTTAGACCTTTTGGGCCTAACTACTCAACTGTTGCCAAAGTAGCTGCAGGTAATATATAAATGAGTGGGTGTGGCTGTTTTCCAGTATAACTTTATTTACAAAAAAAAAAAGGAATTACCAAACCTTCTCTTAAGGTTTAATATGGGAAAATGTCATGATGTCACATACTAGGATTCAAGCCCACGGCCTCATACATGCCAGGCATGTATGTACACTTAAGCACTAAGCTACATCCCCAGCCCTATTGGTTGTTACTTTTTTTTAATTTTTATTTTATTAATATGTGCATGCAATGTTTGGGTCATTTCTCCCCCCCTTCTCCTACCCCTCCCTTACTCCCTCCCCGCTCCCTTCCTTACCCCCCCCTTACCCCTTGCTATCCGGCAGAAACTATTCTGCCCTTATCTCTAATTTTGTTGAAGAGAGAGTAGAAGCAATAATAGGAAGGAACAAGGGTTTTTGCTAGTTGAGAAAAGGATAGTTATACAGGGAGTTGACATTCATTAATTTCCTGGACACGTGTGTTACCTTGTAGGTTAATTCTTCTTGAACTAACCTTTTCTCTAGTTCCTGGTCCCCTTCTCCTATTGGCCTCAGTTGATTTTAAGGTATCTGCTTTAGTTTCTCTGTGTTGAGGGCAACAATGCTATCGAGTTTTTTGGGTGTCTTATCTATCCTTATACCTCCCTTGTGTGCTCTCGCTTTATCATGTGATCAAAGTCCAATCCCCTTGTTGTGTTTTCCCTTGATCTCATGTCCGCATATGAGGGAGAACATACGATTTTTGGTCTTTTGGGCCAGGCTAACCTCACTCAGAATCATGTTCTCCAATTCCATCCATTTACCTGCGAATGATACATTTCGTTCTTCACCATGGCTGCATAAAATTCCATTCTGTATAGATACCACATTTTCTTAATCCATTCATCAGTGGTGGGACATCTTGGCTGTTTCCATAACTTGGCTATTGTGAATAGTGCTGCAATAAACATGGGTGTGCAGGTGCCTTTGGAGTAACCTGTGTCACAGTCTTTTCGGTACATCCCCAAGAGAGGCATTGCTGGATCATATGGTAGATCAATGTTTAGATTTTTAAGAAGCCTCCAAATTTTTTTCCAGAGTGGTTGTACTAAGTTTACATTGCCACCACAGTGTAAGAGGGTTCCTTTTTCCCCGCATCCTCGCCAACACCTGTTGTTAGTGATGTTGCTAATGATGGCTATTCTAACAGGGGTGAGGTGGAATCTTAGTGTGGCTTTAATTTGCATTTCCTTTATTGCTAGAGATGGTGAGCATTTTTTCATGTGTTTTTTTGGCCATTTGAATTCCTTCTTTTGAGAAAGTTCTGTTTAGTTCACTTGCCCATTTCTTTATAGGTTCATTAATTTTGGGCGAATTTTAGTTTTATATACAGTTTCCCTGTATATTTTGGTTATCAGTCCTTTGTCTGATGTGTAGCTGGCAAATATTTTCTCCACTCTGTGGGTGTTCTCTTCAGTTTAGAGACCATTTCTTTTTTGAGCAGAAGCTTTTTAGTTTTATGAGTCCCATTTATCTATGCTATCTCTTAGTTGCTGTGCTGCTGGGGTTTCCATTGAGAAAGTTCTTGCCTATACCTACTAATTCCAGAGTATTTCCTACTCTTTCTGTACCACTTTAGAGTTTGGGGTCTGATATTAAGATCCTTGATCCATTTTGAGTTAATATTGGTATAGGGTGATATACATGGATCTAGTTTCAGTTTTTTGCAGACTGCTAACCAGTTTTCCCAGCAGTTTTTGTTGAAGAGGCTGTCTTTTCTCCATGTGTATTTTTAGGCCTTTGTCAAAGACAAGTTGGTTATAGTTGTGTGGCTTCATATCTGGGTCCTCTATTCTGTTCCACTTCATGTCTGTTTTTGTGCCAGTACCATGCTGTTTTTATTGTTATTGCTTTGTAATATAGTTTGAAGTCAGGTATTGTGATACCTCCAGCATTGTTCTTTTGACTGAGTATTGCCTTGGCTATTCGTGGCCTCTTGTGTTTCCATATAAATTTAACAGTAGATTTTTCAATCTCTTTAATGAATGTCATTGGAATTTTGATGGGAATTGCATTAAACATGTAGATTACTTTTGGGATATAGACATTTTTACTATGTTGATTCTACCAATCCATGAGCATGGGAGATCTCTCCACTTTCTATAGTCTTCCTCAATCTCTTTCTTCAGAAGTTTATAGTTTTCCTTGTAGAGGTCATTCACATCTTTTGTTAGGTTTACACCTAGGTATTTGTTTTTTTTGAGGCTATTGTAAATGGAATTGTTTTCATATATTCTTTTCTCAGTTTGTTCATTGTTAGTGTATAGAAATGCTAATGATTTTTCTATGTTGATTTTATATCCTGCTACCTTGCTATAGCTATTGATGTGTCTAGAGCTTTGAGTAGAGTTTTTTGGGTCTTTAAGGTATAGGATCATATTGTCTGCAAATAGGGATATTTTGACAGTTTCTTTACCTATTTGTATTCCTTTTATTCCTTCTTCTTGCCTAATTGCTCTGGCTAGGAATTCCAGTACTATGTTGAATAGGAGTGGAGATAGTGGGCATCCTTGTCTGGTTCCTGATTTTAGAGGGAATGGTTTCAGTTTTTCTCCGTTAAGTATAATGCTGGCTGTAGGTTTGTCATATATAGCTTTTATAATGTTGAGGTACTTTCCTTCTATTCCTAGTTTTCTTAGAGCTTTTATCATGAAATGGTGTTGGATCTTATCAAAGGCTTTTTCTGCATCTATTGAGATGATCAAGTGGTTTTTGTCTTTGCTTCTGTTAATGTGGTTTATTATGTTTATTGATTTTCGTATGTTGAACCACCCTGCATTCCTGGGATGAAGCCTACTGGTCGTGGTGAATGATCTTTTTGATGTGTTGTTGAATTCGGTTTGCCATTATTTTATTGAGGATTTTTGCATCAATGTTCATTAAGGAGATTGGCCTATAGTTCTCCTTTTTGGAGGTGTCTTTGCCTGGTTTTGGGATAAGTGTAATACTGGCTTCATAAAATGTGTTAGGCAGTTTTCCTTCCCTTTCTATTTGTGGAACAGTTTAAGGAGGGTTGGTATCAGTTCTTCTTTAAAGGTCTGATAGAATTCAGCAGAGAATCCATCAGGTCCTGGACTTTTCTTTTTGGGGAGACTCTTGATTGCTGCTTAATTTCATTTTGTGTTATAGATCTATTCAGGTGATTATTAATTTCCTCTTGGTTCAGTTTTGGATGATCATATGTATCTAGAAATCTGTCCATTTCTTTAAGATTTTCAAATTTATTTGAATATAGGTTCTCAAAGTAGTCTCTGATGATTTCCTGGACTTCCATGGTGTTTGTTGTTATCTCCCTTTTGCATTCCTGATTCTACTAATTTGGGTTTTTTCTTCCTCATTTTAGTCAGGTTTGTCAGGGGTCTGTCGATCTTGTTTATTTTTTCAAAGAACCAACTTTTTGTTTCATTAATTCTTTGTATGGTTTTTTTTGGTTTCTATTTCATTGATTTCAGCTCTTATTTTATTATTTCTCTCCTATTTGTTTTGGGATTTGCTTGTTCTTGTTTTTCTAGGAGTTTGAGATGTATCATTAGGTCATTGATTTGGGATCTTTCAGTCTTTTTAATATATGCACTCATGGCTATAAACTTTCCTCTCAGGACTGCCTTTGCTGTGTCCCATAGGTTCCGGTAGGTTGTGTTTTCATTTTCATTGACTTCCAGGAACTTTTTAATTTCCTCTTTTATTTCATCAATGACCCATTGTTCATTAAGCAATGAGTTATTCAGTTTCCAGCTGTTTGCATGTTTTTTTGTCTTTATTTTTGTTGTTGAGTTCTAGTTTATTGCATTGTGATCAGATAGAATGCATGGTATAATTTCTATTTTCTTATATTTGCTGAGGCTTGCTTTGTGCCCTAGGATATGATCTATTTTGGAGAAGGTTCCATGGGCTGCTGAGAAGAATGTATATTGTGTAGAGTTGGATGAAATGTTCTGTAGACATCAAGTAGGTCCATTTGATCTATTGTATATTTTAGATCTAGGATTTCTTTATTGATTTTTTTGTTTGGATGACCTATCTATTGATGATAATGGGGTGTTAAAGTCTCCCACAACCACTGTGTTGGAGTTAATATATGCTTTTAGGTCCTTCAGGGTATGTTTGATGAAATTGGGTGCTTGACATTGGGTGGATATAGGTTGATAATTGTTATTTTCCTTTTGGTCTATTTCCCCTTTTATTAGTATGGAATGTCCTTCTTTATCTCATTTGATCAATGTAGGTTTGAAGTCTAGTTTGTCAGAGATAAGTATTGCTACTCCTGCCTTTTTTTCGGGGGCCATGGGCTTGGTAAATCTTCTTCCAGCCTTTCATCCTAAGCCTAGGCTTATTTCTGTTGGTAAGATGGGTCTCCAACAAATTGTTGGATCTTACTTTTTAATCCATTTCATCAAATGGTGCCTTTTGATGGGGGAATTAAGTCCATTAACATTAAGTGTTAGTACTGATAGGTATATGGTGATTCCTGTCATTTAGTTGTCTTAGTTGTTTGAAGGTTTGATTGTGTGTACCTAAGTTGAGGTTACTCTCTACTTTCTTGCTTTTTCTTTTCCTGTAGTTTGGTGCTGCCTGTCCTTTCATAGTTATGTTGGGTTTCACTTTCTGTGTGCAGAATCCCTTGAAGAATCTTTTGTAGTGGTGGCTTTGTGGTCACATATTGTTTTAGTTTCTGCTTATCATGGAAGACTTTTATTGCTCCATCTATTTTGAATGATAGTTTTGCTGGGTAGAGTATCCTGGGGTTGAAGTTTTTTCATTCAGTGCCAGAAGATCTCACCCAAGCTCTTCTTGCTTTTAATGTTTCTGTTGAGAAGTCTGCTGTGATTTTGATGGGTTTACCTTTGTATGTTACTTGTTTTTTTCTCTCTTACAGCCTTCAATATTCTTTCTCTCAGTCTCTGTACTTGTTGTTTTAATGATATGCTGTGGGGTAGTTCTATTTTGGTCTGTCTGTTTGGTGTTCTGGAGGCCTCTTGCATCTGTATGGGAATATATTTCTCTAGATTTGGGAAATTTTTGTTATTATTTTGTTGAATATATTTACGCATTCCCTTTGCTTGCACCTCTTCTCCTTCTTCAATGCCATGATTCTCAGGTTTGGTCTTTTGATGGAGTCAGTGAGTTCTTGCATTTTCTTTTCACAGGTCTTTGAGTTGTTTAACTAATAGTTCTTTGGTTTTTCCTTTAATTACCATTTCATCTTCGAGTTCTGAGATTCTGTCTTCTGTTTGTTCTATTCTGCTGGATCTCCTTCATTTTGTTTTGCATTTCTGTTTCTTCTTTTTTCTGAGGTTTTCCATATCCTGGGTGGTTTCCTCTTTATGTTTCTATTTTCCTGAGTTCATTTATCTCTTTATTAATGTGTTTCTTGTTTCACTTTGGTGTTTATACAGTGCTTCTAGTTTCTTTATTTCTTCTTGTGCTTTTTCAAATTCTCTATTTTTGTTGTCTTGGAATTTCTTGAGTGTCTCCTGTACATTTTGGTTGACCATATCCAGTATCATCTCTATAAAATTCTCATTGATTACCTGTAGATTTCTTCTTTCAAATTATTCTTGTGGACTTCATTGGGTTCTTTGGCATAGTTTATCTTCATTTTGTTGGAGTCTGGTTCTGAGTGTCTGTTTTCTTTATTTCCCTCTGGTTCTTGTACTAATTTTTTGCTGTGGGGAAACTGGTTTCCCTGTTTTTTCTGTCTTCCCATCATTGTCCTTGGTATTGTTACTGTCCCTGTACTGTGTGCAATTAAGTATTTTCTAGCTTGTAATAATAACAATGGTGATATTTAAATGGAAGGGTGAGAAGAGAGGGAAAGCAAAGAAGGTAAAGAAAAAGGGAAAAAGAAATAAGTAAAAAAAAAAAGCCAAAACAAACAAAAAAAGTTTCAAAGATATAATCAGGGAGAGATAGTGTACTAATCAACAGTAAGCTAAACAGGCATTAGAGAGACAGAGAGAGGATTAAAATAAAAAAAAAATCTCCAAGTTCAAATGCAATAAAGTTTCAGACTTAATAATTTTGGTGTTAGTCCCTCAGCTTCCAATCCTGGAGATGGTGTCTCAGAAGTAGTTCTGTCATCTCATCAAAGGGGAAAAAAACCAAAAAAAAATCAAAACACCACAAGGTGTCCCAAGTTCAAATGCAATATAGTGTCAGTAAGTTTTTCAGCATGCAGGTGTAGATTGGTTGTTGTCTCATCAAAGGAAGAAAGAAAAAAAAAAAGTCTGGAGATAGCTTTGTGAATGTCTATCTGAGGCTGCGGCTCCCCTGCCCGCTGCTGTCAGCCAGCTGTTGCTGGAGGCTTTATTTATGCAGATCTCAGGAGTCAGCTTAACACTCACCTAGCCCCTCAGGCTTTGTTTTCTTAGAGTTCTCCTGGGCAGAACTGCCACTGTTAACAAGCTTTCCCTTTCCAAGCACATTGGGGTAGGTGTCACTACACATGCCTTCTCCAGCTGGCATGTTTATTTACAGTTCATGTGGGAAGTGGCCCTTCCCCCCTCTCCAGTGGAGTTTTCCTCCCATTGCCACTTTTACAAGCTTTCCTGCTCCAAGTTTCCTGGGAAGGTGCCTCCACTCTTCCCTTCTCCGGCCAGCTTGTTTATTTACAGTTCTGTGAGGGATTTCCCCTCCCCCCCACCCAACCGTCTTCGGGGCTGAGGGCGCTCCGCCCTCTTTGCTACTTGTGTTTGTTTTTGTTGTTGTTTATTCAGTTTGTTTTTTTTTTTCTCTTTTTTCCCTGGGTGGTGGTCGGTCTGTCCAGGGGGCTATGCTGATCTGGCTCAAGGTTGTCTGTGGGAGTACCGAATGCCGCTTAGCTCACCTTGTGGTCTGCGTCTTCCCAAGTGGCCTTGGAGCTGGCGTCTGGCGGTGGCAGAAGCCCTCCTGGTTTCTCCGTTTAACATGAAGTGGGGATGGTATGCATGGGCTGGGGGTGTGGAAGAGTCAAAGTTTTCCGTCTTCTCAGTGGTTTTTCCTACCAGGTTGTGTTCCAGCGTCTCTCCAAGATTTTATTTTAGGAAGCATACTTTCTGCTTCCTCTCTAGTTGCCATCTTGGAATCTCTTGCTTGTTATTTTTAAGAAAATCTGTTTAGCAGTTTATATTTAGAGATGTGTTCATAACCAAATTTTTGTTCCTGCTGCTGTAGTTATCCCACTAGCTGATTACTATATCATTGCTGGAGTGATCTATCAGGCACCAGACTTGGGATCAGTTATAAACTCCAGAGTGGTAAGTGTCCTCACATTCTTTAAACATTAAAGAAAACTTTTATTGAGATACCCTGCTTCCAAGAATCAAACCAGAGCTCTTTTCCCTTGTGTAAAATGATATAAAATGTTGATTACTAGAATGTCTTCAGAATTGTTTACTGTGGACCAAGTCAATGTTAACATGTACAGTTAGCCTTCGTTATTCATGGGTTCCACATCCATGGATTTAACTACTATGGATTGAAAATACTCAGAAAAAACAAATTGCACCTGTACTGAACATGTTCAGAGTTTCTTACCATTATTCCCTGAGCAGTACAGTATAACAACTATTTACATAGTATTTACCTTACATTAGGTCTCATAAGTAATCTGTAAATGATTTAAAGTATATTGGAGAATGTGTGTAGGTTATATGCAAATGCTACGTTATTTTATATAAGGAATTTGAGCATCTATGGGTTTTAGTATCTGGGGTTCTTGGACCAAACCCTGGAGGATGATTGAAGAACTCCAAATTACATAATAATTTAGATTCTGAAAAACAGGAAAGTACTATCTTTGCATATGTGTTATGTTGTATTTACTTTAGAAGTTTTGGTTGACCAAATGAGAAATTGAATATTTGTTTTCTTTTTTACAAGCTTACTGCAGTGCATGGTATTCAGTCAGCTTTTGATGAAGCTATGTCATACTGTCGATACCATCCTTCCAAAGGATATTGGTGGCACTTCAAAGATCATGAAGAACAGGGTAGGTAGAGTACCTAGACCCTCCTAAAATGTTTTGTGTGTGTTTGTGGTAATGGGGATTCAACCCAGGGCCTTTTTACTGTACAAGTGCTCTACCACTGAGCTACATCCTCAGCCCTCTAAAATGGCTTTTGATCCTTTGGGGATGAAGCCATTTTCTTTAGGAAGAAGGCTGTTGATGTTTTTTGATGTGTTTTACTTTTTCATAAGACGATAATATCATTGTAGCTGTGATTCATGTAAATAGGTATAGTAGTAATAGCTTTCACATAGGAAGAGATAAGTTTCATCTGTTAAGTAACTGGTAATTTTTATAAAGGTGATTCAAGTCACCTTTATAAAATCTTAAAATATTTGGAGTATAAAGAGGAGAAACAGTGGTGAAGAAAAGGAAGGACACTTCCAACTTACCTAAGTGTTCAGTCATTTGGAATTTGCAACCCTTTATTCCTTTAGTTTTCAAAGAGGGGTAGATGAGAAGTTGCTCTTACAGCCCTTTCTCCAGGTGGCCAGGCTGTTTCTGATCCTTCTATGTTATCACCTTTTGTGGCACCAGGTCTTCTGTTCCCCATGGCTCTTAATCTACCACTGTTTTTCACTGTGTTTTGCCAGAAAAATTGCAACCAGAAATGTTTCTATAGCAGTATTTCTATACTTTCTATTTCCTTCTCTGATAGTAGCAAGTCAGTACAAATTATTATGGCAAAGGTAACCTTTATATAGAATTTAGACCTGTGGAATGGTCTTTCAGACACAGTTCTTCTGACTTAGCTATTTTTGGTGATGCTGCAGTTTGAACTCTGGACTGTGTACTTGCTAGGCAGGCATTCTACCACTTGAGCCACAGCCCTATCTCTATTTTGCTTGAGTTATTTTTTGGATACAGTCTTGTGTTTTTGCCTGGGCTGGCCTTGGACTGTGATCCATCTACCTACTCCTGTGTAGCTAGCTTTACTGGGACACACCATTATGGCTGACTTACTGCTTAAGATGGGATCTAGCTAACTTTTTCCCTGAGCTGGTCTCAAATTTTGATCCTCTTGATTACCACCACCCAAGTAGCTGAGACTATAGGCATGAATCACTGTGCCTGGTCCTATTTTAATTCTTAATAGTAGGTGTAGGCAACAATGTTTGATGTAGGGAAGTTCGCCTTAGTTAAATAAAGGTGGCCCCAAGGGCTATTTTTCCCTCACCTAATGGAGTGGAATAACACTTTGCAGGAACCCCTTAATTTAGAGACAATTCTCCAACTACTTCCTTTGCTCCTATATATGCGAATAACTTCAGAATTTCTCTTTCCTTCAGGTTTTTGTTTAGTGAATTACAGTCTTTATAATTGAGCATAGTAGCTTCAGTTTCTGAAACCCACTTTTTGTTCCTATTAGGTTTTATGGGAAAACATCATTTAATACAATTAAAATACTCAAAAGTAATTTTCACACTAATAATCTGAATTGTGATTTAGGCAGTTATGAAAAACTTTAGCCTTAAAACTCTTATGTATCCATATCATATACTGAAATTGAAGTATCTTTAAAAGATATGTATATCAGTTATTTATTTAATCTGTTAAGTGGTATAGGGGGTTTTTGCATTGGCTAGTTTTGAGATAGTGTCTCGCTTTATGTGTGAGCTGGCCTTGACCATAATCATACTATTTGTGCTTCCCTGAGTAGTTGGGGTGACAGGTGTGCACCACTGCACTCAACCATTGGTTGAGATGGAGAAGGTGGGGTGTCTGTCATTCTTTTTGCCTTGGCTGGCCTCTAACTGTGGTCGTCCCTATTTTGAACTCCCAAATTGTTAGGATTACAGCTTAAGCTATTATGCCCAGCTCAGCCTTTTAGATGTTAGAATTTAACATCATTTGGGAAAAAGAGTTAGAGCACTTCTTTTTATATGCTCTGTTTAGCTTATTTGGGGAATTGTCTTGGTATAGCAGTCATTAAAAATAATGAAGCTTAATGCTGGGGGAATGACTCAAGTGGTAGAGTACATGCTTAGCAAGCCTGAGGCCCTGAATTCAAACCCCAGTACCACCAAAAGTAATGAAGCTTAATATGTTCATAATGGATAAAGATTTATAAAATATGAGACTGATTATGTAATATATTGATTTGGATTTCATATTTTAATAGATAAAGTCAAACCGAAAGCCAAAAGGAAAGAAGAACCAAGTTCTATTTTTCAGAGACAGCGTGTGGATGCTTTACTCATAGACCTTAGACAAAAATTTCCACCCAAATTTGTGCAGGTAATAAGAATGTGTGGTTAATTTTAATTTAATATTTTTTCCTGATGTGCATATTTACTTTTAATTGAGAGCTCTTTTAGGTATGACCTGAAAATACTGGCTTTTTCCTCACGAGATGAAAAATTACCAGAGGGAAGGTTTCAAAAGTCTTAATGGAGGAATGAGTAAAGGGAATGAATTTAATATTGTTCTGTGTTCCTTAATTGGATTTTTGCAAATTCTTGAGGTCTGCGTATAGATAACACTTATTCAAAAGATTGCAAAACTAGAAAATGACACTTGCATTTTCTACTCTACATGTTGCCTTTCCAGTATAATGTAAGTATCTAAGCTCCTTAAATGATGGAATAGTTAAAACTTTTGAAATAAAAAGAATAGAACATTTGTGGTAGAAAGTATGGTATGAAAAAAGGGGGAAGTAGGATTAATAGTAGAGTTACACCATATTGGTGTTTAAGTTATTTAATTCCACTGTGTGATTAGGGTGGTGGGTGTTGTGACAGCAATAGCAAATCCTCCTGCTGTTCTGTTAAATGAACTTTTGAAGTGAAGTAAAGAGATAGAATATATGAATATGTTTTTCTCATGGTTAGTCTCAGTTCTTATGGATCTTTACAGGACTATATATACTCATCAACATACATACTGAGTTCTTAGGAGCTATTTAAGGGATCTTCAAAGGTTGTTTTAAATTAGACTTTTCACATTATAAGTTAAGATGACTGTAGAACAGGCCTCCTCTTCCCCTGTCCCTGACTCTATGATAGTGAGAAATATGTTATTAGAATGGTTTTGTGATAGTGAAGGGAGCAGAGGACTGAACTTGAAACAGAGAATAAGAAAGCCAGTTTAGAGAAATCTCACAAATTGTACTTGAAGATGGAACAGTGTCTATTGAAGAAATAAATAAATGAATTACAGCTTTGTGTCAGTAGATGAGTAACCACCATAAGACATACATATGGTTGATAATACTGATTCGTTGGTATATAGTACACACTAAGTTGCCTGAGGGAAGAACTCTAGACTTGTGCTGTCTGATACAGTAGTTGCTAGATACATGTGACTATTCGACTTAGAAGCACAGCTAGTCCAGATTGAGTTGTGACATAATTATAAAATATAAACTGGATTTAAAAGACTTGTACCAAAAGTTTTTTAATAATTTGAAAATACCGATTAGATATTAAAATAATATTTTTGCTTTTAGGTATATTTTGTTAAAACATAAAATTCATGTGTTTCTTTTAAAAACGTGGCTAGAAAATTTAATATTACATATATAAGTTGCATTGAGGCTTATTTTTGAACAATGCTAATCTAGAAAATGTTAATAGAACATGTAAAATCAGAAACTTAAGTATTAGAATATGCTCTGAAAATCCTTTGAGAGTTTTCTCAGAGTATTTGTGGAGAGGAAGAATAATGGAAGATAAGACTTAAAAGATGGATTAAAGTCAGATTGAGGATTTTGTGTGCTATGCAAAGAAGTTTGGGTTTGATCCTATAGGCTAGTTTTTCTTAACTATTTAAACTTATAATCCATTACTGCCCTCATAAACATAGCAGGCTTCCATCTGCATTCAAAGTTATTTGAAGTATTAAAACAATAGCTATTACCCAAGGTCCTGGGTTCAATTTTCAACACTGCAAACAAAACAATAGCTATCATAGAGGCAAACAAAATCAGTGATAAATTTTGTAAATATATATAACATTTTTTGGTGGTGCTGGAGATCAAACCCAGGGCCTCACAAATGCTAGGTACATACTGTACCTCTGAACTACCCCCCTCCCCCATATATAAATATATGTATATATTAAGTGCATACTCTCTTGGAGTGTATTAGAATATCCTCCGCTTATCTCAAAGATCATTTTCAGTGACCAGCTGATACTTATATTACTCGTGGCATTAGAGACCTATTGGATGTTTAAAAGCAGTCACAGGGGGTAATGTGTAATAACCCTCCTTTTCTGTAGTTTTATTCTCTGTAGTTTGAGTGGCAGTCAGTCATGGTCTGAAATAGTAAGTGAACAATTCAGAAATAAAAAAATGTGTAAGTTTTAAATTACATGCGTTCTAAGTAACATGGTAAAGTTTGGTACTATCCTGTGTGTCCCTCCTAGGATGAGTCATCCCTTTGTCTAGTGATCCATGCTCTATATGCTACTCATCCATTAGTTACTTAGTAGCTGTCTTGGCTATCAGATGACTGTCCTGGTATCACAGTGCTTGTATTCAAGTAACCCTTATTTTACTTAATAATGGCTTCAAAGTACAAAAGTAGTGATGTTGACAGTTTTGTTATGCCAAAGAGAAGCTGTAAAGTGCTTTCTTTTAGTGAAAAGGTGCAAGTTATCAATTTAAAAAAAGAAATGATAAAATGTTATTGCTAAAATCTGTAGTAAAAATGAATCTTCTATCCATGAAATTGTGAGAAAAGTTAAAAGAAATTTGTTCCAGATTGGCGTTCACACTTGAACTATAAAAATCATGACTATAGTGTATAAGATAATAAATTAAATTTGTGAGTGGAGATATGAACAGTAAACATGTTTGGATTGACAGCAATGTGTTGCACCAGAAAACATTGAGCCTACACAAAGACTTAAGCAAGGGAATCCCTGAAATGAGAGACACTAAGCCATTTACTGGAAGTAAGGGATGATCACACAGATTCAGGACTAGGTTTGGATTAAAAAATATAAAAATTACTGGGGAGGCTGTGTCTGCCAATGAAGAACCTCTTTCTGGCAGAGCTGAAGAAGTTGATTAAGGAGACATATTGGCAGGAGATCCGTAGTAGCCTAATGTGTTACAATGCCCATGTTATTCACTTCACTTCATCTTGTCATGTAGGCATCATTACTTACCATGACAAGTAGATATTCTCTCACTTCATTAAGAAGAAGGGTAGGTACAATACAATAAGGTGTTTTGAGAAGGAGAGTAATCTCATTCGCATAACTTTTTATTATACTATATTGTTAGAGTTGTTTTATTTATTGTCACTTACTGTTCATCCCCTTTTGTTCGTAATTTATAAATTAAACTTTATCATAGCAGTATATAGGAAAAAACATAATGTATTTATGAATTGGCACTATTTGCAATTTTAGGAATCCATTGGGGATCTTAGAAGGAAGCCTCTGTGGATAAGGGGAACTGTTGTGGTCACTTTTGTATTTTTGGAAAATTACTGAAACAGTATAGGGAATGCTTAGGGGACCAACGTTTGAAGTCAGGGAACTTATACTGAAGAAGGCCTGAATTTATTCTGTGGCTCTAAGAGAAGAACAGATTCAAGAGCTATTTCAGAGTTAGGATTTTTTAAAAAAAATTTTTATTCATTTATTCACATGTGCATACATTGTTTGGGTCATTTCTCACCCCTTCCCCCGCCCCCTCACTCTCCCCTCACCCCCACCTTGCTCCAGGCAGAACCTATTCTGCCCTTTTCTCCAATTTTGTTGAAGAGAAGACATAGGCAATAATAAGAAAGACAAAGCATTTTTGCTAGTTGAGATAAGGATAGCTATATAGAGAGATTCCTAGCATTGCTTCCATACACAAGTGTGTTACAACCCAAGTTGATTCATCTCTACTGACCTTTTTCACTAGTTCTGATCTGTTTTCCCATATTGACCTCGTTGCTTTAAGGTTTCTGTATTAGCTCCTCTGCAGTGGGACATCAGACAATTTAATTTGGGTTTTCTACCTATCCCCATTCCTCCTGTGTGTGCTTTCCCTCTTAGCATGTGACCCAAGTCCAACAACGTTGCTGTATTTTGCCCTACATCTAAAGTCCGCATATGAGGGAGAACATACGATTTTTGATCATCTCAGCCTGGCTAACCTCATCAGAATGATGTTCTCCAGTTCCATCCATTTACTTGAGAATAGTAAGATTCAGTCTTGCTACACTGAGTAAAACTGCACTGTGTATAAGTACCACATTTCTTAATCCATTTATCTGTAGTGGGGCTTCTGGCTGTTTCCATAACTTGGCTTGTGAGTAGCACTGCAATAAACAGGGTGTGCAGGGCCTCTAGAGTAACCTGTGTCACATTCCTTCGGGTATATCCCCAGGAGTGGGATTGCTGGATCATATGGCAGATGTAGGTTTAGATTCTTAAGAAGCCTCCATATTTTTTTCCAGAGTGGTTACACTAGCTCGCATTCCTGTCAGCAGTGTACGAGGGTTCCTTTTTCCCCACAACCTCGCCAACACCTGTTGTTGGTAGTGTTTTTGGTGTTGGCTATTCTAACGGGTGAGGTGGACTCTTAGTGTGGTTTTGATTTGCATTTCTTTTATGGCTAGAGACAGCATTTTTTTCATGTGTTTTTTGGACATTTGAATTTCTTCCTTTGAGAAAGTTCTGTTTAGTTCAATTGCCCATTTTTTAATTTTTTCATTGGTTTTGGGAGACTTCAGCTTTTTAAGTATCCTGTATATTCTGGTTATCAGTCCTTTGTATAGCTGGCAAAATATTTTCTCCCACTCTGTGGGTGGTCTCTTCAGTTTAGAGACCATTTCTTTTGTTATGCAGAAGTTTTTTTAATTTTATTAAGTCCCATTTGTCCATTGTTTCTCTTAGTTTCTGAGCTTCTTGGGTTCTATTGAGGAAGTCCTTGCGTAGTTCTCTCACTTTCAGAGTATTCCTTGCTCTTTCCTGTGCAAAAGAGTTTCGGGTCTGATATTAAGGTCCTTGATCCATTCTGAGTTGATACTAGTATAAGGTGATAAACGTGGATCTAGTTTTAGTTTTTTGCAGACAGATAACCATTTTTCCCAGAAACATTTGTTGAAGAGGCTGTTTTTTTCTCCATGTGTGTTTTTGGGGCCTTGGTAAAAAATAAGGTGTGTGAACTCATATCTGGGTCTTCTATTCTGTTCCACTGGTCTTCATGTCTATTTTTGTGCCACTATCATGCTGTTTTTATTGCTATTGCTGTAAATGTAGTTTGAAGTCGGGTATTGTGATACCTCCAGCATTGCTCTTTTTGCTGAGCATTGCCTTGGCTATTTGTGGTCTCTTGTGTTTCCAAATGAACTTTAGGGTAGATTTTTAAATCTCTGTAATGAATGTCATTGGGATTTTGATGGGAATTGCATTAAACATGTAGCTTGCTTTTGGTAGTATAGCCATTTTTACTATGTTGATTCTACCAATCCATGAGCATGGGAGATCTATCCACCTTCTGTAGTCTTCCTCAATCTCTTTCTTCAGGGGTTTGTAGTTCTCCTTGTAGAGGTCATTCACATCCTTTGTTAAGTTTACTCCTAGGTATTTGATTTTTTTTTGAGGCTATTGTAAATGAAATTGTTCTGATATATTCCACTTCAGTTTGTTCATTGTTGGTGTATAGAAAACCTAATGATTTTTGTAAGTTGATTTTGTATCCTGCCACCTTGCTATAGCTGTTTATGGGTGTCTGGGAGTTTTTGGGTAGAGTTGCTAGGGTCTTAAGGTATAGATATATTGTCTGCAAATAGGGATATTTGACAGTTCTTTAACCTATTTTACCTTTTATTTCTTCTTCTTGCCTAATTGCTCTGGCTAAGAATTCCAGTACTGTGTTGAATAGGAGTGGAGATAGTGGGCACTCTTGTCTCGTTCCTGATTTTAGGAAAATGATTTGCAGTTTTTCACCAGAAGTATGATGTTGGCTGTAGGTTGTCATATATAGCCTTACAATGTTGAGGTACATTCCTTCTATTCCTAGTTTTCTTAGAGCTTTTATCATGAATGGTGTTTGGATCTTATCAAAGGCTTTTCTGCATCTATTGAGAGATCAAGTGGTTTTTGTCTTGCTTTCTATTAATGTGCTGTATTACATTTATAGATTTGATATGTTGAAACCATCCCTGCATCCCGTGCATGAAGCCGACTTGTGTGAATGAATCTTTCTGTGTGTTGTTGGATTTGTTTGCCATTATTTTATTGTAGATTTTGTGCATCGATGTTCATTAAGGAGATTGGCCTATAGTTCTCCTTTTTGGAGTGTGTTTTTGTGTGTTTTGGGATGAGTTGAATTACTGGTTCATAAAATGAGTTAGGCAGTGTTTCTTTCCTTTCTATTTCG